GTTTCAGTAAGCATATTTTCATCATTCAGCACCAGTGTGCCTTGCAGTTATGTATGCATGTGAGATATTTGTTTTAAACCTTACTTCTTTATTTTCATACCCTGATTACAGAATACTACCTAGAAAAACAAGAAAAGGTGAAAAAATAACTGCTCAAATAGGGAACATTTTTTGTAACGCTATTTCACTGCTACACAGCTTTTGGTCTTCTGTCACATTTCAGTCATCTTACCCATGAAGGAGTAACTAATCAATCAGAAATCCCTGAGTCTCCCACCACACTACTGTTTGGTCTTTTTAGAAAGATTCGTGTTCCTATTTGTATTTTTTTAATGTTAGAATAGAGATCAGTACCTTGGTAGTATTATACTCTTTGCTAGGCAAACTTTTCAATATAGCAATTATTCGCCCTTTATCCTTGTCTAAATATGAGATGAAATAGAATTAAGCTTAGTGTAGCAGTGTCATATAGACAGATTTTTTTCTACCACCTTCCAGGTGAGTTTTCCTTAGTTTTGCTCATCTGTTCTGAATGTTTTGCTTCCTAGTGGACATGAAATGTGTGAGGTACTAAACTCTTGTGCTATGTCAGAAGTACACTGCAGAGTTGATGAGGAAGCTGCCTGAGGGGAAGTGGGTATCTAATTTTCTTGCGTGTTTGTGCAATATTTTTTCGTTCATGTAGGGTAAGCCTGATATTTGCATGCATTTGTAGCTTCCTTAAAAGTCATATTTAACGACTAAGGGGAGAGTTGCACTTTAGACCCTCTATGGCTGTTATGCTCAAGTACCTCTCTTGGGCAGCCAGCCACACTTCCTTCAGCACCCGTAAGGGTAAATCTGAATTCAAGCATTTTCTTCTATTCCATTACTGATCCTAGAACGGTATTACACTCCAAAAAAAGAAGGCAAGATTTTGAAACTCCAAACAAAGAGAACAGCCATCCCAAATTCAGACATTCTTCTTAAATTTTTAAGTGGTTTTTAATCATTATCTAGAGGTTTTTTATGATTATTTTCCTCTGTGTATGCCCAGCAGATGCTGCATCTGTTCAAACATTTCCTACTGTTGCTAAACATTAGATATTCTTCACATATTAGAAAGTGGGGTAGAGAAATCTGGCTTGAAAACTGCCAGCAGTAAACTACTTTGTGAAAGTAAATCAGGCCATTGTTTTTGGAAACAGATATAAATAAATAATTTGTGAAATATTAGAGATCATAAAAATCCTGCTGCTGTTCTTTTCATAACTGAGAAATATTCTTCATATTTTAGAAACTTGTTATATAGCAGGCTTTCTTACTCTGAAGATTTAAGAGACAGTCCCTCACCAGTGCCATCACTCTCATTTCATCTAAATTACAACTAGTGGATTTCCCCCCAGGCCCTCTCCGCCTTTTAAGAACTTTTTTCTGGGCAAATCATCCTGAAGAGTTTGTAGAAAATACTGAGATTAATATGAGACAAAGCAATACTCTGGAGAATAGCCTGATCTGAAACACATCCTAGTCAAAGTGAATTTAAATTTCCGTAGCCATAAAGGTTTTTGTAGTCACGGATGATATGTTTACCCCCTCTAATCCTGTTCCCCACCTCACTTTTATTAGCTGTTATTTTCATTCTAAAGTTCTTTATCTTTTTAAAGCCTGAAACTAGAAGCTTGGCAAAAATTAACTTTAATGAAATACATTCATTAAAATAAATTTCTACAGATGAAGAGCATGGTGATATTTTTCTGTTTGATATTTATTCCGTACGTATTACTGAGGTGTTTTGAGCAGGCACTGCAGTGCAGTACCATTCTTGGCATGAGACTATGGGATTATTTCTTCCTTTTCTCCAAGTTGTACATTGCTGGTGAAGAGCCAGTGTCAATCAGTCATGCATCCCAATTATTTCCTTACTAAAAACCTAGTAGTAAATCTGTTTTCTTCAGTCTTTCCTGAAAGTGCTTGGAACCTACCTTCCAGGACCATTTTGCTAGAAGTTGGATGATGTGTATTTGTCTCCTAACCACCAGGATGTGTGGTGACTACTGGAGTAAAAAAAAAAAAAAAAAAAAAAGACATGGGGGTGTGTGAAGGAAACAAGTAAGCAGGAGTGAAGGAAACAGTAACTAGAACATTCAAAACATCTGTATGTGTAATGACTTTCAGAATAATAGAATCAAAGGAATATTTAGGTTGGAAGGGGTCCTTAAGATTATGAAGTCCAACTGTAAAACTACCCAATTCACTACAAAACCATGTCCCTAACCACCATTCTGTAGGTCTTCAATTCCCTTCAGGGAAGGTGATTTAAACACTTGCCTGGGAAGCCTGTTCCAATACTTGATAACTTTCTCAGTGAAGAAACATTTGCTGGTATCCAATTTAAACCTCCTCAGTACTGCAGGAGGCCATTTCCTCTCATCATCTCACGCATAGGAGGAGACAGATTCCAGCCCTGCCTGGGGTGTCTGCAGCACAGTTGTTCTCCCCTGTGCCTTCCTAGGTGCCCAATGCCATGTCTTGCCAAGACAGACATGCAAAGTGATGGGGCTTGCTTTGTGCTAGGAGTAGAAAAGTCAGGGGGGACATCAGAAGGCTGTAGGAGGGGGGAGATGATAAAAGAGCCTCCTGCTGGCTCTCCTTGAAGGCTTGAAAGGAGCAGCTGAGCCCTGGGACAGGGCAGTGAGATGTGGGGCTCAGCTGGTCTGTGCCCCTGTCTCTGCGCCCCACTGGAGGGCAGGGAGAGATGGCAGGGATGGAGAGCGGGAGGAAAGTCCTGATTTCCTCCACATCTCCCAAGTGCTCAGGCTGAGATGTATGTTGCATGTGATAGTCTCTGGGAAGATGTCAAGAAGGCTTGGGAGAAGAGCTTGTGTATCCTCAACTGTAAGCTCCCATACCCTCCCACAGTCACCCCCAGCTTAGCACAGGTACTCCTGGGGGAAGTGGTCAGGGAAGGAAGAGAAATTTTCTGGGAGTGTTCCCTGCTACCAGTGTACTGGCACTCTTGCACCCACTGTCCCAGGACAGGCTCCTGCAGGAAACCTGCGCAGTGAAACCTACAGGACTGTGCAGCTGGGCAGGGGAAGGGAAGCACCGGCAGGGGCTGCCCTTGCACAGTGCCCAGGCTGCTGCTGTCCCCGGTGCCAAAGCTTGGCAGAGCAAGCCAAGAGTTCTGATGGAGCCTGCATGCCTTGTGTGTGCACCTACAGGGGCCCTGGACAAACCATGGGAAGACAGACCCTGCTGGAAAACATTCTGGTCACAGACCTTCCTCCCATGTGACGCCACAAGGGTGTGAGACACCGCATAGCCAGGAATGCAGATGCTCCAAAAAGGGCAAAGTCTGCTCTGATGGAGGTTTCCCTTTGTTGAGCTTCGTTAAATTACTTTCATTCGAATTCTTTAGCCTTTCCAGGTCCCTTTGAATTGTATCACAGCCCTGTGATGTTTAGCCACTGTTTAGCCAAATAATACAAAATCCTTTTGTATTATTTGTGAATTTGCTGGGGCTGTGCTCTCTCCGCTGTCCACCATCTCAGTGAAATGACATTGATCCTAATCCTGACCCTGGGTTACAATACTATTAACTGGCCTCCAAATGGGCATTGTATTATTGATTGCAATCCTTTGGCCCTGCATTAAGTTACTGAGTGAATCTATTCCATTTGAAGAAAGCTTTGTCTGGTACAGTCAGAATGGTCGTTTTGCATACAGCATTTATGTTTGGTGGTGACTAAGGACTGCCTTCTGTGTCTTCAGTTACAACTTTTCTTTGTTGCAGTTAGCAAGCGAAAGTTATGTTACTAGATTAGTATGGGAACTTAAACCAGAAACTTTTAGTTGCAGATCACAAGAGTAATAAATAATATGCTGCATGAAGCTCTATTTTGTAGGTTCAATATCTTTGCAACTTTGAGATCTCCCTTGTTTGGGATGGTGGGAGAAGACAGGAAGTTCTGCATAGCATGTGGTTTGACTGACTGTGCCCCGTCTAGTTTTCTATACTGTGTGAGCCTTGTTGATTTGACTTTGTGTTCCTCTCCCTCTTTCCTTCCCCACATCAACCCTTTACTTATTCACAGCATAGCACAGTTTATTGATATAGCTACTGTTTTTTGATATGAACACAGTGGACAGCAAATCAGCACTGATGGATGAAATATGAATTAAGCAGCAGGCACAAACAGCTCTGCCTGCTTCAGGACTGCCAGGGAAGGTGTCAGTCTGAAGTGCTGGGTGCTAAAAGGCCCTATATTAAGACTCCCATTCCTCAGTTACACCTTTGCATTATGGACCGTCCCTTTTTACATAGTTATCCACAAAGTCTTCTGCACTTTTCTTCATGTAACTCAGTTGCACACTTTGGCTAGCTACAAGACAAATGTGCTGTTAACCCTGTTCTCATATAGCCTGAACTGTTTAATGCTGATTCCACAGATTGCTGCATGGCTTCCCTAAAATGATGCTTCATTTTATTGTGAAGGACTCATATTTTAACTCTGTATATGTTTCACAACAAACGTAGAAGCAGAAACTGAACTTATGATCATTTTGTCCACTTCTAGCCAAGGCGCTGGGAAACTGGAAAAAGAGCTGCTGGGATTTAGAAAAACAACTTCTAACAAGATAAAAATGGTATCTTCAGTTTAAAATAATTTTTTTGATTGTCAACCTATGTATCACCAACAAATGTATTACTAAAATTACCTCAGACTATGCCCCCTGGTGATTTTCAGGTTAGACATCAGGTGAATTTCTCTACAGAAAGGGTTGTTAAACGTCGGAATGCTCTGCTGAGGGGGGTGATGAAGTCATCATCCCTGGAGGTGTTCAGTGCCATGGTCTTGCTGACAAGGTGGTAACTGGTTCAGGTTTGGACTCAATGATTTTACAGGTCTATTCCAGCCTAAATCATTCTGTGATTCTGCAAACATACTGCAGGTGAACTGCTATCTTACTGGTTTATTGTCTTTTTTCTACTGACATTCATGTCTCTGTATTTTCAGATACAGTATTCTAGATTTGCTGCTTGGAAAAGAAAAAACCATGGCTTCCAACACATCAAACCCTGCTAACCATTTGCCATACTTCTTTGGTAATATCACACGTGAAGATGCTGAGGAGTATCTGATGCAGGGAGGAGCAAGTGATGGACTATACTTGCTCCGCCAAAGCCGGAATTACCTGGGGGGCTTTGCCCTATCCTTGGCCCATGGAAGGAAGGTTCACCACTATACAATTGAGAGGGAGCTGAGTGGCTCCTATGCTATTGCAGGAGGCAAGTCACATGCCAGTCCTGCAGAACTCATTAACTATCACTCCGGGGAAGCAGACGGCCTTATCTGTCTACTGAGAAAACCTTTCAACCGGCCACCGGGTGTTGAACCAAAAACAGGACCCTTCGAAGATTTGAAAGAGAACCTCATCAGAGAGTATGTCAAGCAGACTTGGAATTTGCAGGTAAAGCCAGACTGATCTCACCATAAAGTAATCTTTGAGCTAGGAAAAAAAGAGATTGCAGTGTTTGTTTCTAGCTGTTGCTGGTATGTAGTATTTTTTCACAATGGAATTATAGCTGTTTGAGATTTAACAGTGAGGTGTTTTTCTCCCCAGTAGATGCAGTAACTTGGCAGTAAGTCTAGTTTTCCTGAAATTTTAGTCCTTAGAATTTCTCCAATGTTCTGATCTAGCATAATCTTTTCTACCTCTGCACTAACATATGCCATCAAATTTGGACCAAAAATTAATACATGTAATGAACAAGATATACTTGTATCATTGCTTTTTGTTTGTCTCATTGCTTTTAATTCTGATTTTTTATGGACGGATATGCAGGCAGGCATAGTGACATGATGACTTGTTTTACATCTTACTCTCTTAGTTGGCCTTGCTTCTGTGATGCTAATTTAAGTTATGTCCAAAACAGAAATTGTTCCTGAAAGAGAACAGAGTGCGGAGCACTGCCTATATATCTTCAGTGCTGCAGGGCTCAAGCAGGAATTTTCCATGTGGAGGACAAGATGTTGGATTTTTTCCTAGGAATGACTATGAAGAAGCCAGTCTTAACATGGAAGCAGTAGTGTAGGAGGCTTCAAAGAGAGTATTTGTTGTAGTGTGTGGGGAAAGTATTATATCACCTTGAGATGTCATGAGTTACCTTTATGAACTCATGAAGATACTCAAGGTTCCTAACCTCTTTTGCTGCTAGCAAGTAACTCTATGAATTCTGCTCTGTAAAATATATGGAGCATCCCCCAAACTGGGAAAACCTGAAACTCATACAACATTTTCTATAACTGCTGAGGTTCACAGTGTCTTTTCTGATGAGTCTGAGCTCAGTCTAGAGTGAAGTTGATGAGCTCTGCTTAAATGCTGGTGAAATTAGTGGGGGTTGCCCTCAGATTCTGAGCCCAATTTAGAAGTGGTAGATTGTAGACAAGGTTAGAAATGTCTAAGTTAATATTACTCTGAATAATTCACTCTATAATAGGGACTGTTCTGTCTGGGAAAATTTGCATTAATGTCTTTGACAGACATGCTGCAAGAGTGCAAAGCACATTTGGTTTATTTTAGTACACTGCCATAGCATATGTAATTTGGAGGTACATTTGAAATATCAGACTGACACTAACTTCATTTAGCCATGTCTAATTAGCATAGCAATATTACTTTATTTTAAGCTTAAATACTGATATACCAGTGGTTTTATTTACTGGTTAATTTTCCTTCTTTTTCTCAGAGGAAAAGAGAGAGCCCTAGTTTTGTGATGTTTAGATTACCATATGTTAGTTTCTGGTTTAAAATCTTTATAGTAACCAGGCCTTCACACACAACAATATGTGCAGATTTTGGATGTCCCAAAAGCAGTCCCAAAAGATTGAGAGTCTACCTGTATTCTTTTTATTGCAGAAGATAGTTTAACTGTTTCACTGTCTTTTTACTGCTCTCTAGGGACATGCTCTTGAACAAGCTATCATTAGTCAGAAGCCTCAGCTGGAGAAGCTGATTGCCACTACAGCCCATGAGAAGATGCCGTGGTTCCATGGGAGGATCTCTCGGGAGGAGTCAGAACACCGTATCCTCATTGGGTCAAGAAACAATGGAAAATTTCTGTGAGTTTATTTTTCTGTGGTATTGCTGTTTGCCTCCAGTGTTACTGTACAGCTCTTTTGAATAAATCTCAAATGAGACCATTCCCCTATGGTTTATCCACAGTGAGGGCACCCAGTTCAGCATAATTTACGTGACATGCTGCTTCCTGCCCTAAGCAGGTCCCTCACTTAACTAAAGATGGAAAACTGTAACAAAAGCCTGGAACAGCTGCAGGGGTGTCCACTAGGGCCTGCTTTCACCAGTTGTGGCCAGCCCAGGGCATCCCCTGGCCTTTGCAGCCCCACTGTCAAAGCCTGACCACCTGCACCCAATACACAGGCTTATTAAACTGGTACAATTAGAGACAAACTCGCTATGTTAGCAGCTGTTGGGATCTGTATTTGTCAAGTCCCCTCGGGACAGTGGTAGTGCTTTGTTTTGTAGTTAAGCAATAAAAGGATTGCTTCTACCTTGACAGCACTGTTTTGTGTCTGCTGGTTACCCTCTGCATTTACTGAGCCTAATGATCTTTTGTTTTTTGAGCACAAATGTGGCATTAGGATAGTGACAGACAGCCATTAGGGACTAGAGCCAGGGGTTTGTTTGGAGAATTCTCATTTGAAAAATCCCAGTGTTTTAACAGAGCTGTCTTTTGTCACTACCACCCCCACCAAAAATATTTATATAATGATAAGAAATTTGAAAAATTAGGCTTAAAAGTCAAGGCCAAGTAAGGATCACTTAGAACTGTATAATTTCTGAGGGAAATTTCATCACCTGCCTATGCAGTTTTCTTTAGCACTCAGCCTTCTTTGGCTTTTTTTAGAGGTAGTCCAAAGTGAAACCCCACAAGTGAGTGCAGGAAGGATATGGTTCTTCAGTACCAATTCTTTCACTTTATTGATTTTCTGTAATTGTGCCATACTAATTGCTAATGTGGGTGCTGCAACCCTTACATATTTCCATGTTTCAGTCTTAGTTGACAGGAACCAGTAATTCCTTTAAATTCTTCTCCTAGTAGAGTGAATTCCTATGAGGTCTTAACCACAAACGCTTTGAGTGTAGTGACATCTCATTTCTTGAACTCTATTTTTTTCCCTCAGTACTTCAGTTTTTTGTGTTTCATAGCCAGTCTCACTCAAGTAGCCATGCATGCCTATTTTCAGCCTCATATTCCCTATTGATGGGGACTGCATCCAGAGGGGCACTTACCCTATTGCTTTTTCTGCCATATGTAACAAAACTTGTAATAAGTTTGTCACAGATTTTGTTATAGTTGTTGTAAAAAAAACTGTTACAAAAGTTGCAAAAATTTGTGGAGCCAGATATATCTCTTTCCGCGGCACAGGAGTTTAGAGAATTTGATGAACATAGTTGTTGTTACCAATTAGCAGCCCAGCATCACCACACAACCTCTCCTTTTTCTTGCCCTGTGATTTTCCTAGTTTCTTTTCCTTCTTTTTATACAGAAGATCCAGTAATTGAAAGAAAAAGCAATCCTTTCTTTTAATGACAATTTTGTACCTGAAGATATATTGCTTTTTTGCTTTCCATTTTAATACTTTACCAAACCAACTTTGTATCAACTGAGTCATGATGTTGATCGTGTGTTAAAACTGGCAGCTTTTCTAATTTCCCTGAGGCACACATTGGTTCCTCTGTGGCCAAAGAACTTCTCTTTGGGGCATGGCAGGGAGTGGGGGTGCAGCGGGAAGGAATCTAGTTTTTCTTCAAAGGATCCACAAGCAAGCATTTCTTAACAACAGGGATAGGTTTTGGAGTAAGGGAGAGACATTTTTTAAGAAACTTGACATTTTCAGCTTCTGTTATAAACACTGGTCTCTTTTTAATCTTCTATAAGCAGTCCTACTGCTTTGACTGGAAATATTTTCCCACCATTTTCCTGTGTTCCTTAAAGATGGCCTAGGAGGCATTTCTGATGCTCTTTGTAGTGACATGCTCAATGAGTCATGGGAGAGCATTCAGACCTTCTCCCACAGGACTGGATATGACAATGGATCCATATTTTACATACTTTTGGTGGAACTTGGGTGGCTACTCTCATATCAGGAGGAGAAGCTCGTAGAGGAGAAAATGCTAATTTTAAGGCTCTGTTTAAACCATGAGAACTTCCACTGGAGCTTAAATAATATAAACTGCTAGTGTGTTGATCTTGGGTACCTGTTATTAAGGACAAGACTGTTTACTTCTGCATCTGTAGGATGCTTTCTGATGTATTAATTATTCTTGCACAGAATTCCTATCTGTCCATTTTAGAATGTAGTGGCCACTCAGCTGCCATTTGCTCCTATGGTCTCAGGGAAGACCCAGGGAAAGAACCTGATCTACCTCACAGTTCAGTAGCCAGTGCAGCAAGATAAGTAATGTGTTGTTCATTTGTGTTGAAATCAGTTATTCTACATTCCTCAGCTGTTCTAGCTCTCAGACCCATACACTCTGAGACCCAAATCACAAATAACAAAAGAACTGTCTAATTCAGAGAGGTTTATTTCTTTCTGCAGCGGGTTGTGTAACATGGGCTTGCTCAGCAGCTGTTGAGAAATAAACCACTGATTTCTGGCTAACTGAAGCAGAAGCAGCAAAACTGTTGAGTATGAGTGTGGTGCATTGTTTTACACTTCAGGCACAGATATCACATAGCTTTACTTACCCAGCAGTAGTGCTTGCCAGAATATTCTGTACATCTGTGGATTGAAGGCTTTGAAGTTGTGACTGGGAATTAGTGTTTTTCTAACACTGGTCGAGATAATCAAGCCCAGTAGCTGACTGAAAAGTAAAACTTGCAAACATGTAAGTCTAAGAGATGTTTGCTTGTTGAGGTAGGAATTGGAACTTGGAAACAAAGAGAGGAGCTAGATTTTTGAAGAGATTAGGTACTTCTGAAGTTATTTAACAAGTTCACATGTGAATACTTGTATGTAACAAAAATCATATTGCTTATTATGGAGAAAATAACAAATCTTAGAAGAGTATAATATAACTGTATATTTTTAACAAGGCTCTCCAAAATCTTCATTACACCAGAAATTTGCTATCCATTTGACCTGGCTACCTTGAAACAAAATCCGATACAGCAGTCTACTATGTAATAATACAACTATCATGTAGATTTCTTTAGCACTGCTGTGCAGTAATACAAGATTATCAAATCTAGAATTATTTTAATGGTTTAAATGTGTAAATAGTAGAAAAGCTTCCTGACTGCAGTTCAAAATATCATGAATAGCACCATAAAAATAACACTACAATGCATCCAAGGAAAAATTCTGAGCTAAATGTGGGTGTTTTACCAGGGAATTTTCAAAGATCTTTTTAAAGTTTTATTCATGGCTTAAAAGTCAGTAAAGTATGTATGTGGATGCTAGAGAGTTTGTTTTCAAAACCAAACACAGAAACCATGATGTGAAATAGGAAGTATTTTCTGCCTCTTCTGTCAAGAATGTTTGTGTAACATTGCCACTCTAGGCATGAACTTTATGGGGAAAAAAATAGCAGTGGAAAAAAAGTAAAATATTTCTAAAATTATTTGAAAAGAAACTGAAAATGGAGAACTTTATGTCTGAAGCTGCACTTAACTACACTAACACTTTTACATTCTATATTGGGTGATGAATCTTGACCCAACTTCTGGGGTTTATTACATTTTGTCTGGTGGGGAACATTGATCATAGATCAAACTGTTAATATTGATAACACTTTTATTAATATTGCAATAGTATTTTATTAATAATGCATAATAAAATATTTGTAATATTGTTGATATCTGTGTGAGTTTATGCATGCATGTGTGGAAGAGTTGAAAAATAAATTATAACTTTGCTAAAAGCAAAAAGCAGAAGAGTTAGTTTCCTGTGTAGTTTCACATAAGAAACGCCTCTGATGTGTGGTAAGGGTTGGCATATCTTGCCATCAGTAATGACCACTTAAGTTATACAAGCATGTGATCTTGCATATGTGTTAAAAACCAGGAGTTCTGAAGATGGAGTAGGATAAGAATATTCAGAAATACTGTTAAACTTAAAAATTCAGTATTAGGGAAATTCTAAGTGAAGGCATTGCAAATTAGGACTTTAGTCTATATAAACCTTTTGCATGTGTTCTTACCTTTATGTAGTTCACAAAAAAATATGAACAGATGTGTAAAAGGAAACTGGGAAACTATTTTGGTGTCATATGAGTGTCTTCAGTACATAATGGGAATATTAAAGAGGACAAATCTAGTTTAGACTATTATAATGAGTCACAGTAACATGCCACATCATGGCTATGACAACTAGAAACTAAACTGTTTCTTAAATGTCACAAAACTTAATACTAGTATTTCAAAATATATTTCTGCCTTCTTCTAGGAGTTTGCTGCTACCAGGCTACATACTGTAATTTTTCTGACCATTCTTTAGATAATTCTATCAGTATTAAGTTTCTGTCCATAAAAGGGACTGGACGTTGTTGACATCATAGAGGATGAAAACAATCCTATTAATTGTGACCTTAATTCAGGAATATTAATTAATGATGAAGGTCCTCTTGAAAGTGCCAAGGAGTGCTAGGCTTAGATGACCATAAAAGTTTTTCAAGAGAAATGATGATACACAGACAATGAACTGTGTTTCTGGAGGCGCTGTCTTCCTCTCCACGGCAGCCTGGATGATGCCCATGACTCTTTGGGAGAGCTGTTTACCGATCTTTAGTTAGGTACGTGTTGGGTGCCGTTTGCAGGCCATTGCAGCAGGGCTGTGGCCTCTCAAGACGGGTTCTGCACTGGGTGCTTCAGCGGCAGAGTGCGTCTGAGGTGTGAAAAGCTGGCACCTAACTGAGATAGCTGTACTAAGATCTCCTATTTCAGGTACAGGTTTACTGCTGAGCTGTTTGTTAGGGGTTTGGTGGAGCATGGTGTATTTTGCTGCCAGGGTGAAGTCAACTAAATAGATGAATTTGATGCAATCCTTCTCACAAAAGTATTTTGTAACTGTGCAGCAGACTCACCAGGAGATGAATTTTTAGGTTCCGTTGTAGATAGCAATAGTGTGAAGCTGAGATATCTCCTAAATTCTATAGTGTTCTGACATTTCTGAAACAGCTTTGAATATGTTAGCAAACAGCGGAGAAGAAATGATGCAAATGAAGACAGCAGTCAATCCAGTTTGCCCTTTATGTAATTCTTTTACAGATGGCACCAAGTTCATTTCTTATTACCCGCAAACTTGGAACGTATGCAATCTGTGCAGCAGATCTTTGAAGTGATAATGAGTAGCCATGTTGTTAATAGCATTACCAGAGAGATGGTCAGGAAGAGAGAGGGCAAGACAAGCAGGGAGTGGCTGGAGCTCCGTCAGCAGTGGGGAATGTCAGTATCTCTGGCATCAACAAGGCTGTAATTGCTGACAAGGCAGAGCAGTGCCAAGAATAAAATTTAGCATGCCTTTGAATTCAGCAGCAAGAATAATTTCACACCATTCCTAAAGCAAGCATTTTGCTTTTTTATTTTCTTCATAATTCTCCACTGCAGAATGCTGTGAATTCTGTTTTTTTCTTTACAGTCAATGAGGCATATTGTAATAGCAATTTATTTCTTTGACCCTCAGGGATATTTTTCTTTAGAAAGAGAAGGATCATTTGGGCTTTCAGATGGAAACAGAAAAAACTGGGACATTGTTCTTTTTGCTTCCAAATGAAAATATCAAAGGAAGGAGTGGATAGCTATTTATACTGTCTGTAATAATGCTCCAAATTGTTACTGGTTGCTGTCTAGGTTGCACTCCCAAAACCACAAAAAATGCTGAAACACACATTGCATGAAACACAAAATCAATACCTAAATATTCTCTGCATTGTGTCAGGTAAGAATTTTAATTTCTGCATTACTTATTCTGCTGTTTTAAAAATGTACATCACAAAAAATCTAGATACCCTGGCACTTCTCTAATATAGCTACGTAGCTATGTACTCAAATCTGTTCTCAATGAGTTTGTTCATATTTCTGATTAATTCAGTGGATGAAACAACAGTGTTGTTTACAGATGTTTATTATCTTTATGTTTTTCTTCTGTACATTTGCAATTCTCTGCAATAGCATGAAATGGAAGACCAGGTGATGCCTCACTGCCGGCTTCCTTCCTTGCCATATTTTTTCAATGAAGATCTCTTTATTTAGCAATTTTTTATTGAAGATCAGTAAATATTGTGTTTAATTTCAGAGCACTTTAAAGCAGACAGTACATTTGGAATTTTGATTTCTTTCTCAACATTCTGAAAATTGTTGCTTTCCATACAAGGAAAGTTCCATATATGAAGATCTGATGTGAAGGCCCTGGGTAATACAGGCAGCACCATCAAGCACCTTTCTGTCCATTCAAAGAGGTTTCAGGTTACAACCTTTTAGTTTGAATAGTATTTGCCTTTTTTTCTGTTTTTTACAGCAGCTGTTGACATGGAACTGGATATTGTTACCCAGCTGCAGTTCTCTAGGCTTAGCCTAACCTAGACAGCTATTACCACAGCCTGCAAAACCAAAGTGAAATTGTGAAACATGGCTTGGGGCAATCTGTGTCACGCAGAAAGGGTTCAGTTTGCCAAAACTAAGACTTAAGCTGTCAGTTCAATGCACTTGATACTTCTGCCTTTCAGACATATTTGGAAAGATGGTAGTATCTTCTTGATTCATGTTTTGTGGGGATCCAGGTTGTGTACCTCCTGATAGCGTCTTTTGTAGGGATCTAGGTTGTGCTGAGTTGACTACAGTTTAAAACCCACCTGTTCCATAACCCTAAGGGAGAAAGGGTCTCGCTGGACCCTGATTGAGTATGTGTTCAGTGGAGGTGTTAGAATGGATGTGCAGTGATAGAGCTGTGTGACAGAAGTTAACACGGCTGTGAGCTGCAGATGGCTCCATATCATGTAGCTCTTTGGATAGGGGAAGGAAAAGCTCTGAAATGCAATTACAACCCTGTAAACCTGAACTCCACCTAAATCCTGCACTGAAGAGTGATAGAGCTGTTTGGGTCTGTGCCATAGTCTATCAGAATTCAGGACTCTCCCCTCCCATGGGTGCCTGTGCTCTCAACAAAGGTTTGCAATGCCTCTCCTGAGAGTAACAACTCTTGCAAATGAAAACCTGTTTCAGTAGAACTGAATTGTATTGGAGCCTCCATTTCTTCCTGTGAAACATGAAGGATATTTGTTACTGAGAAACAATCCATTGCATTTTTATAATCTTATTTGTGCTATTCTGAACAGAAGTCTGGTTGCAATTAAATGCCATTTGTTTTAGAAACAATGCCCTCTATTCTGAAAATATTTTTCTAAGGTTTCTTTGCTTTGAGCAGGTCAGAAGAAGACAAAGTAAAAGTCACTCTTCATTTTAGCAGAGCCTGTTGCTCTTCAGTGGTCAGTCAGTGCAGGAAATCAGCATGCTGAGAAAACATCTATATGCCATGAAGAAACCACAATGTGTTTCAATTTGCTTTAGAGACTTACACAACTTACTTTGGTTTCAGAAAACAAAAAACTGACCCTACTTCCCTTTTCTTTTAGCCAATGTCCTGTTCACATTTTAGGCAACAAGAATCATGCTATTTGAAAGAAAAATGTGCATAAGTAGTTCAGACAAAATACAGTTTTACTTCAGGCTTGAGAGAGTCAGCTGAGGAGAATACTTTAATACGTGCCTCTGCAATCTCCTGAGATATAACAGCAAGTACCAGTGTTGCACCAGCAAAGTTTCTTAACACCTTACTGAGAATTTACTGGTATATTTCTTTCTAGGCTGTTCAAAAATTCGAGGAAGAGTAAGTAGATTTCTGTACCCACCAGAACAAGAAATGTTTTAGTGCTCCAGAATCTAGGCTTTTTATTAAAAAAAGAAAAAAAGCCAGTCAATTTTATTCTAACTCTACTGCTGTCACACTGTCAGCTGTCAATGAGCATGGGAACCCGACTGAAAGAAAAAGCCTTCTTTCTAAACTCAGACATATTGCACCAACTATGATGGTGCTAGTAACAAATTCCCATCTGTTCTGGATCCAGTAATCAGGGTATGCTGGTGTCAGTGTCAGCTAGCCCTGAGCTCACATACAACAACTCTGTCATGCTTTACAGGCATCTCAGAGGGCACTCGCAGGTCTGCTGCAAGGAGGAGATCATCCTACCTAGGAGTTTTACACAAAGGTTTTATATTACATTTGGCGATCTCTCCATGGTGAAGTTTAGATAAGATATGTACACTTCAATACCATGTTAAGTTTCATATGAATTTTATGTGAAATCTACAACAAAACATTAATGTCTTTCCTGAAATTATAAGAATTAATGATTACAGAGATATATTACTTTCTTTAAATTCCCAGCCACAGAGCAAACTATTTCAAACACAGAAATTTTGCCTTTTCACATTACGTTATTTTAGTATTTTATCTTCTGTTCTTACTGCCACCTCTTTATTTCAAAATAAAAGATACAAGGGAGGCAAGCCAGTACTGCAGAAACTTTAAAAGGCATGTTTGCCCAAAGAGTGCTTTTTGCAATGTACAGTGTTCTGTAGCTGCCTTACAGTGCCTGATATCATTGATTTTTTTGTTTCCATCTGTTGCCTTTTTGGAAGTAAAAAAAGAGAAACTTTAGTCAATTTACCTGAAAGTTAATTACACTAAGAAATAAATTAAAGGCTTAACAAAATGTTCTCAGAAGTTGCAGTGCTGATTTTGTTTTGGTTTTAATTCAGAAGCCTTAAGAAAAAGGTGATTAAAAAAGAATGTTTATTCCTGGTAAATCCTGAAAGTCTTTCTTATTTCTACAGTATCCGAGAAAGGGACAGTAATGGTTCCTATGCCCTGTGCCTACTGAATGATGGAAAAGTACTGCACTATCGTATTGACAGAGATAAGACAGGAAAGCTCTCCATACCAGATGGAAAAAGATTTGACACCCTGTGGCAGGTCTGTTAAATTTATGTCACGTGGATATCTGTCATCACATTTCCATGTAACTGACCAACGTTGTTTTATTTTGCCTTGTGACAATAGTCTTTGGCTAAAACCAACATGTTTTGGCAGGTTATTTGTCATATGTTTCCAACATTTTGTGGTTCTGTACATGAAGAAAACATCTTAATGTACAAAGCTGTGAGAGTTTAATAATTTTTAAATGTGATGTTGCAGCCTGGCTGAGTTCAAAACTGTGATGATTATTATTAGTTATTATATTATTAGCTGAACATTTTCTAGAATGAAAGTCCGTTTGCCTATGCGAGTAACCATTTTCAGTAATGGATATGCTTGGTTTAGTCTTTTGCTAGTGTCATTTATGATAGCAGCCAACAGAATTCTAGCAAGCAAAAAGAGGATGTTTTAAGATGTTGTGCACAAAATGAGTCTTTAGCTTTGAAATTCTCTATCTTCAAGTCTGCTAAAGCATGGCTTGCTGAGGCTTACCACCAAAATATGTCTGAACCCTGGTAATGAGTAAGCAATTGAGTCCATTGCTGGCTATGCCATAGTTGATACTAAAACTGAATACTGTTGAAATTACTGTAAATTGAAAATACTAAGGGAATTGAAATTCCTGCAGAAATCTCTTATGTCCTCTTGCTTAAAAATCTATTAAAATTAATTAATTGAGTCACAGATGTAAAATATGGATCTTTGCATGCATATATTAATTCTTAGGATTTTGTATTTCTTTCCTGATGTCACTAGAAATTTAAAAGCAGCTCTGCTGTCTTACAATTTTTATGAACATACGTGCAACTCTTACACTTGCAGACCACCTCCTTTATACCCAAATGGAAAATAGCAATAACAAACCTGTAAAAGATGATGTGGAGAGGACAATCCAAGGGCACAAATGGCCACAACTACTGGTGCTACATTTATTAACTGGGCACATCCCATTGCAATTCTGAGGTTTAAAGAAAGCATTGCATATTAGGGCAATTCGTGCACTGTAATTATCCCCAAAAAAAAAAAAAAAAAAAAAAATTAAAAAATTGTAAAAAATTTAAAAAAAAAATAAGAGAGCAGGAACTCAGCGACATAGTAAGTTATTTGCTCAGAGTTATAAAGCTGCTTAATAGCAGAACCAGGGGGGAATACTGACCCTTATAAATCCAAATCCTGGATCACATTGCTCATTTATCCACAAGGCTACTTCAGAAACATGCACCCCTGACAGATAAAAATAAAGTAAATAACATGTGCAGTAAAGATCTGCTGTATTCCAAGGTCATTTGTTGTAATGATATCAACTGTTGTACATAGGCACACATTGCTAAAGAGACAATATATTTAATGATACCACCCTCATATTTTCTTGTCTTCTCTCACTATTTATTTTTTTTCCCCTCCCCTCTCATTCTGCTAGTTAGTTGAGCATTATTCATACAAACCAGATGGATTATTAAGGGTTCTTACCATTCCTTGTCCACAGCATGGCTCAGAAAATGGTGAGTTATTCCTATTATTTTTATATGTGTTAAAAGACATGATAATTATGATAAATTTGTGTGAATTTTTTCCACTTCCCTTATAGGTGGGTGCAGATTTTCCACATTTTCAAATGAGGTAGTATCTGCCAGACTGTGCATGATGGAGGCAGATCCTGTAGCTTAGGGGTACCAAATCATTACTGCTGGGTCTAAATTATTGTTCGATCAGAAACGTGCTTTGCTGCTCAAAGTGGCAGTGGGTGCTTCTTGGACCACAAACATGAACAAGGTGGTCTTCCCAGCACTGCTCCAGTGGTCCTTTCTCCAAGCTGCAGCAGGCACCGCAGCAGTGCTGCTGCAGGAATTCACCATGGGGGCAGTGAGTCGTGCGCCCAGCAGGTGAAGCCCCGTGTTGGGGGGAACAGGGCAGAACGAGGCACTGGCTGCACCCGACACTGAAAATGGGGTCAGGGAGGCATTCCTTGATAACTTGTGGGAAAGGAGGGGAAGAGGTGGGGGAAAGTGTCAGTGTGCTTTTTATCCTGTTTCTTCTTTAATGTCATGTCACGCTGAACAGACGTTGTCCTCCCTCCTGCACTGACTGAAAAGGGAAGAGAGATGAATCTGGCTGAGCTGTGTGCAACCTGTGCTCTTCCAGAATTGGTTTTCTCTCTCTAAGGCAACCTTCTGTTATTCAAACTGGATGCCAGTGCCATGGTGAGAGGATATAGAATAATATAATATAATCATAGAACCATTCAGGTTAGGAAAGACACTAAGATCATCAAGTCCAGCCCTGAAGTTTTTAGTTTTCCATTAATTTGAATCACTACATGTTTTTTTCCACTGTTACTTTCATTCTCCTTTGAATCATTTAGGCTTTGCACTTACTTTTGTCTCTGGCCAGAAGTACCGGAGTCTTCTGCATATAAGAGACAAAAGCAAAGAAAATAGTCCAAGAGAAACACTGTAATGTGATCTAAAAACTACACAGTTGGTCTCTTCTGTAAAATTCTGTGTTCTTAACAAAAATTTCTCAATTTTACATTTGATTCTTTTGCAGATAATCTTGGTTTTAATACTCATCCTTCTTCTGGAACACTTCCTAAGGTAAGGGAAGGTGGAGGTACAGCAATAGCATTCATTTGAGAAGGATTACAGTCACATACTGTTCTGGGAATCCTAATTCTCGGGTATTATTTCATCTGTGAGTTTATTTTTCTTGGGTTATAAACAGTGATTTGTAAAGAAACTTAACATATTCTGTCGTATTGCTTTCATCAGTGTTTTGAATGTGCTAATCATAGTTTAATTTTGTGAACCTCTTTTACACATATAATGTGTATGATAAAACAGTATTTTACATAGGCAAGATGCCTCATTGATTGTCATATTCTATAATGTTTTATCAACGCTAGGAGGAGAGAAACCACATTACTTACACTGTTCACTTAGACAATCTGCTGACTGAAGCAGAAATGGAAGTTCAGTTTATTTTCATATTTGGTCTGTGCAGTTAACATCAGACCTGGCATTTCTTGTGCACTGCTTTAGGGGTGATTCTTTCCTGCACTCCATGAAGAGTGAGGAAGTCCACCTGTGCTATAATTACCTAAGCTCTCGAGGTCCATTTACTACAGAAGCCATCTGAGGTGTGATACGTTCACAGAATCACATAATATTGTCGTGTTCAAGGTAGTTGATTTCATCTGAAATAGAGAGTTAACTTCAGTCATTTTCCTGCATAACTTGATCATTTAGATCATTATCTTGATGCAGTCCCATATTATAGAAAAAAAATTCAAATAAGCAATTACCTCTATTTCAATACAATTGACTCCTAGCAGCCCTGTGAATAACCAATCTCATACCTTCACTTCTGAAAATCAAGTACCTTTATAAAGAATTGGAAATTAAGCAACCAAAATCAGTCCCTTTTAATTAAAAACATTTTAAAATTTATTACTTCTTTATTATTAATAATTTTAATTAGAAAAAAATAAATATAAAAATACTGTCTTGAGGTTTGGGTCTGTGCCATTTACAAGGATGTCCATGAAGTTTAAGCACACAAGACCACATGTGTATCATGTGGTATACATGCAGTTGTAGAGATAGGGCAAGCACATTTAGTGTGGTAATACTGTGTACATTTAAAAATATCCACAGAAAAATTCACAATATAAATGTAAATTCAACTGCTACTGCTTAAGACTTGTCATGATAGCTAAAAAGAAAGTCACCAAAGCTAAATGAGAGTGCATGTTTTGCAAAGAGTATACTAAAACATTGTTTTAATCTCCAATATATTTGATACTTTGAATTTCTTAAAATTAAAATCTGAATTTTGTGTTTTCTTTGGGACTTTTTAAAAACGAGTTTGCTAAATTACTTTCTTGTAATATAAATATAGAAGATGGAATATTTTAAATAACTAATACTGCTAATGGAGCTCAAAAATTTCACTTAATATTTCCAGGTTCTCACACATTAATACTTGTGTGCAAAAGCAGTAACTCATGAAGATTTTTAATACGCCTGAAATACAATTATTCAGATTACACAAAACCAAAAATTAAACCAGCTTGAACAGAAGGAATACAATCACCAACATAACACTGTGGCCAGTTCTAAGCAAGTCTAATAGTGGTGCTGCCATTCAGACGAATTTTTCAGTATCTTTTTCATTTATCTATATATTGCAGCCTAAAATACAGTGGTACTGTTCCAAAATGTTAGTGGAATAGAATGACCAAATTTGTTTTGAATTTAGGAGGGTGCATGAAATGTAGAAACAACTGCTGGGTGATATGGCAGGCAGACTGCCCAAATGATTTATCTGTAAAAAACTGTTGGTTATAGGAGCTTGGAGTAAAATTTACATCAGTATGTAAATCTACATCAGATTTGTCTAATATTAGCTATTGTTCCATGGACAAATTTGGAGTAACAAAATGCTTAAGTTTAATGTAATATGGGCATCTCCTTTTTAGTGATACTAATATGCTTCCTCTGCAAAAGAAAGGACTTTATGTTAAATGTCTGTATTGAAGGTAGTTTTCCATGCAGAATATGGAGAGTTGCTTGTTCTTGCTTCTCCCAGAACATGCATGGACTGGGATGTTTCTTGCCTTTCACATGAGGCTCCATGGCTAGATTCAAGGTGATTTTGACTCCTTCCGTTTTGTAAATTACCTTTTTCTCCCTGCAATCAATTTCAGACCAATATATATTTAAACTGGCAGAGGAGCTTTTGAGATGAGTCTTTAGTTCAGTTCTCCAGCTGATGACATTCTAGTGAAACTGCCAAATTCTGGCCATTTCTCAAATTCTGCTCTTAACCTTTCTCAGTATTTTGTTTAGTCACAGTCTTTTAGGTGGTGGTAAAAGACCCAAACTTTATGAGTACAGCCTAACTGTTACTAGTTGCTGTGCCTGATCAGGTATTCATCTCAACATGCATTTGTAGGTCTAATACAAATATGTGAGTTAAGCACTATTACTGTAACTACAGGTTGTTGCTTTCCCAAGTGCTGGGACGTACTCTTGTTGAAAAAGTGTAATGAGAACCATGCTCAGCTTGTGCAATGGAGCGCTTGACCTCTTAGAGAATGTATCTATTTTAAAACTGTAACTAAGTAGTACTTCAGGTTTCATTTATTCCCAATATGGAAAGAAAATTTCATGAAGTAAAAGAAAATAGCTGACTCAGTAACCTTTTTCAGTATGCACTATACTGAATGTTTATGTATCAAAGCTATGAAGAATGTCAAGCATCAAAAAGGTTTCTGTTCTTCAAGCAGCATCAGGGACCACCTGGCTGTCCTTGATGTCTTGAAACAAAAAGATTATGTGAAATCAGACATTTTCTTTTAAAAGAAAACTAGGGAATATACCTATCCTATCAATTTAAAAAGATACCATTTCAGAAAATCAGAAGTCCAAATGGACTATTAAAAAGTTCAGAACATCTAAGTTCAAAGGCTCTTTAAAGTGACTCAGATTGTTGTTTTAGCCTCAGCATCAGACTAAATGTTTGAAAACTAAGTGCTCTGTCTCAGTTTTAAATAGTCATGTATGATCTCTAGTGATTCCTAAAAATGCTAATTTGTCACATTTAATTAAATTATTTTGTCCTTGTAAAATATATTTGCATGTCTTTTAAAGGTATCTTTACGCAGAACATAAGTATGTGTGTAAAATGGAAAGCCTGTTCCTTTTTGTTTGGAATTAACATTACCTAACATGCTTTCTGCTTCAATAACCACACTGTTGTATGACCAAGGTGTGTTTCAAATTTTGCTTGATGTATTAGTCATACTTCCAGACACAAAAGGTATCCACTTGTTTCTAAATATGTTTTGGGAGGAGGACTAAAGTTCAGTGACAGAAGCAGGAGAAAATAAAGATCTGGACAGAGGCCAGTACGTTTCAATTTAAAAACTGCCTTAAGGTATGTCTACAGTATCAGGATGGTTTGGCAGTAATACAGACAAAATAAAATTTAGTACTAAGATTTCCTGGTTTTTTTTTAATGCATCATATATGTGTACTTGAAGGCACAAGCAACAGAAAGTTTGGGAGAGTTTTGTTCTTTTAGAGTGTTTTTGTTGTGTGAAATATTTTCAGCTATTTTCATGACACATTTACTGTTCCTCTTTGACATTGTGGTTTCTAGAGTTGGGCAGGAGGTGGAATTATCTCAAGACTCAAATCGTACACCTTCCCAAAGGCTGGCAGCAAAAAGGTGCTTCATATACTTTTTTTAGGTTTTTGACTGAGTTAAAAATACTTGACTAATTTCACTCTCTTCTCCCCCTCTTTTCGCTTGCTGTCTTGACTACTAACAATTAGATTGTTAAGATTTTGTAAGCTTTCTGCATCTATCCTAATCATCTGCATAATTATGGGCTGGATTTTATAACTGAAGCAATGAGTTTGAAGGAGTTTTAAACATAGAGGGACTCTTTTTTATTTGTATTTTTGGCATACCAAAATAATGCAGATCTCAATATTTCTGCAAATGAAATGTGATAAAATATCTTTCAAAACCACGCAGTTATAATAGAACAAAATTATATTTCTACTTTCCTTTCTAATCAGAAAATTGTCTTGCTTACACAATTATGTTATTACTGAACACATTTAGGGAACAATAAAAACAACAAAATACCTACTTACATAACCTATGTGCACAAATCTTCTTATGCATTCACTTTCATTGAGGCAAATGTAAGGTGTCACAAGACCAAGCAGAATGGGAAAATAGCCAAAGATGCCAGGGAGATAAGGGGAGCCCTGCCCTGTCCTAGTGAAAATACTTTTGCATGGCCAGAAAATGGTGCTGTCCAGTAATTGATGTAGTTCTGAGGCATGTAGCTATGAGTTTGTTTGCATGCTTTCCAGTTGCTCTTCAACAAAAATGGGCAGGCATGAAAAGCCCTAGAGGTATGCTACTGTTTAGAGTGAAAAGCTCTGTTTGATATATAATGTATTTGATAATCCTGATAAATAACACATGTTATTTTCCTACAGCTTCAGTTCACTTTTATGCTGAAGTGCCAGCAGCTGTTGTCAGCTGTGTATCCCCACATACCTCTGACATACCTCCTTCTCAATGATACCTCTTTCTCAATGTGTGTTTGTCATATACGGATACAGACACAGTGTCACGATCTGCTCTCAACCATCTGAAGTACAATGCCAAACTATCACACATTTTAGGCTGATTCAGAAAAATGGGTGTGGGGTCTGAACTCTGTAGACACATTTTGGGTCACACTGCTGTCTGTTAAGCTGGTAAAACCTGTGTCTGGCTCTGGTCACTTTCTGCTGTCAAATACCTATTTCCTGCCTTCAGGACATCATACACAGAATTGAGACTGGAGCATATTGGCAGAGTAAAACCAATCATTGTCAGAAACCCAACTTGATTGCCATTTACATGTACTTTACCTGGAATACTCAAACCCACATAATGTTGCCAGATTTTAGACTCTAGACAAAAGTTCTCTGAACTGTGCAAAGATTTACTATTCATTAACCCCAATAAGCACAGTTTACTTTAGACCTGGTTTGTTACAGTTACTCCTACTATGTCAAAAGCTTTCAGACAGTAAACCAGAAAAATGTTTTTATTATAAAATTTATTTTATTTGCTATGTTTATTCACTTTTGGGATTTTTTTTTTAAATTTCACAAATGCACTATTTGTATTACCTTTTCAGATCCAGATAAAAATTTTCCAGTCTGTTTTACTAGTGTAAAATTGTCAGTTTGGACCATTTAAGTGAAATCCTGCCACCTAGTGGCAACTGAGATGCCGTAGCCAAAGCTCCTCTCCTCTCATGGCTAATGAGATGTTTGTCATGCAGTATTTAGCTATTAGTTTTTAATAAAATTGCTTCATGCATTTTTTTCAAATCAGAGTTATTAACATGAAAGAATATTGCACTTGCTGTACAACTTGCCTTTGTGAGAATCTTACTATGCTATTTGCTATAAAATTATAATCATCACTGTAAAAGTCAGATTTAGAGTAGTTGGAGTCATGTCATTCATATGTCACATTTTTTTAAAGCTCCTCTAGAGGAATTTTTCTTTTACTCCTTTTTATTGATTGAATGAATCTATGTTCATCTTGCCCATTCTCTGTTTCTTGTAGGAACACAAGAAGTAAGCACTTATCCTATATCTTAGATGTATTAAGACAAAGATTCTTTTGTCCAAGAAAGATCTACAGAATTATACTTGCTGTTTTAAAAGGGTGGGGCAGAAAGGACTCTGCATTTAAGTGATAGTTACATAAAAAGGAAAGTAGGAATATTAATGTAAAAGACATTATTAAATTATTTCATCAATTTGCAACAATTAGAAATAATTCTGTATGTATTGACCAAGCTAAGTAATGATAAATAAGACACTATGATTCCTCTTAAACGTGAGCAGCTCTCTGAGAAAGAGAACCCACTTTGTTATATCTGGTGTCACTGTGTGATTTTCAGTTCACAGCTGCAGAGCTTTATTTGCAAGCATGGAAGTGATACACTTTTTTTTTTTTTCTTATGCAGATCAAGAGCATACAATCCTTTTGGATTTTTTGTTGTTGTTGTTCTTGAAATGCAAAGAGCATTTATCTCTCTTTATATCTCATGTGTCTAATTTGAAGACTTAGCTATGTCTTGGCCAGAGCTACGTTTTCACCAACTGCTCTCCACTGGTGCATGGATTCTTGAGGTGTGCAAAATTTGGTGTACATTTAATTACATTTGGCCAGTTCAAAGTATGCCAGTTGACTTCCAGTCTCCATGGGGGTTTGGGGTTAGTGAACTGCCTGTGTGAAATAGAGTGACACAGGTCTTGGAAAGCTGTCAGGATGAATCAGTCTAGGAAAACAAAACTAGAGCTAAGGATCTTGGTTTATACCTTCATTTGCCTTGAGAATGGTAGAACAGTCAGTTTGTTCCTTGACATATCCCAGAACTGTCTTGGGGTTTTGTGGCTTGCCTTGACAGCAAATGGCCTTTTAACACTGTTCCAAGTCAGAAATACTACTCTTACTGTGCCTGATGTCAATGTGCTCATCCTACTAGGTCAGAAGGTTGCTGAAAACTGGTTTCCTATACATGGTTTGCAGTAAAAGTATGTAGTGAAACCTTTTCTATTTCATCCAGCTGGGCAGATAATTTCATTATGATTTCAATGTCTGTAGTTCCCAGGTCAGGTGTTTCCCCTACTAAATGCAGTTTCCAAATGATAAAACTTCTATTGCATCCTTTAGGAAACTTCACAGAATCATGGAATGGTTTGTGTTGGACATTAAAGGTTATTTCATTACAGTCCCTTTGCCCTGGTTCAGGGACAGCTTCCATTAGAGCTTTGTTTTCTCTTTGCTTGAAAAGAAACTAACCTGCAGAAATAGATTCTGTAATTCCATGTTCCCAGCAGCACACAAACAGAAGTGACCAGATTATTAGTTTCTCTCATCTATACTTTATTGTGCCCGGCAAGGAGCTCCAGAAGACACTATGTCTCCAGAAGACACATAGGGAGATACACAATCTCACTGTGGTGAGATAGTTTGTGTACACCATATTATTTCTCTGTCAACAGTAAAGGCAGAGGTATTGTATTTGAACCAGATGCTCTATTAAGTAATCTTGTCCTTCCTCAGAGCAGACAAACAGGCCTAGTATCTGGTCCATGATGTTTGTCCCTGATGTTACACAAGCCTATGGAAGTAGTAACTTTTTACTGAAATTGCTTCCACTTCTTTAAAATAGAGCTTCTCTGTAATATCCACAAAAGAAACAAGAAATTGTTTTTTGTTTTTATTTGTGCTAGTAATTTCTCTATGGCCTAGATAGAGGAAGAAATAGCTTGAAGAAGGAGGAAGGACAGATTAAAGAGAAATCCTTCTGACTATTGGTGTTACATGGCAAATTTTAAAAAAGCATGAAAATTTAATATCTGCAGAATAAGACTTATGCATGACTCACTATAGTGAATTTGCTCTTATCTAATGTTCTGAAATATTTGTAATACTTCAGTAATATCTTTCTGTGCTTTTGGCCTGCTCTAACAATAACCTCCAGAATGAAATAACCTCTTTTGGATCCCTTTCTTTCTGATCCTCACCTATGTGTCCCTTGAAACATTATGCCAAAATTCTTGGGGGCAGTGGGGATGGAAAAGTGCTTTTAACTTACCTATTCATTGTTAAACAAAAAAACTTTATTTGTGTGCTACAGCTTCAGTCAACTATTGGCCACCCACCAGAAGAAGCGCCTTTTAATCCATATGTGCTGCAGAAGAACAGAGGTCTTACAGGAGCAGAAAGAGGTAGGCAGAGTTATATATATCATTAATGCAATTTTCTTCCTTATAGCAGAGTTCTTTCTCAATCCTTATTTCTTTTTTCTTGCATATATTTCACACTGTTATGTATTGGTATAGCCACTATCATAACTGAAGCCTGGTAGCTGAAGATGCCAGCTGTCACCATCTATAACAAAAATCGTTTAGCAGAAACCCCCTTTTCCATTTTGAAGTGGAGTGTTATTTCCTGGACTCTAAAATCCATATCCTCACCTGTCACAGAAGGAATTGTGCCCTGTTGCATCCACATTGGCAAGCATAATGCAGTTAAAGTTGGGTGCCTAAGAATGAAGTATGTATAAGGCAGCATTCTGAGGTGAATAATTGTGTGAGGTAGCTAATGGGAAGTACCAAGGAGAAGGGCCAACCTTTAGCCCTCCTTTTGTCAACGAGCCTCCTGGTTTCACCCTGCCCAAATGTTCTGTAGCTGCAGCATGTCACCTGGGGCACACCTCTGTCTTTTGGTCTGCTCTAAAATGCATATAGATGAACAGCATGTGGTTTCTTTATAATGTCCTTGCAAGTCAAACACACTGATGGTCTTGAACATAGAAAAGATGAATACATTACATGTGGCAGCACAAATGTCTGATATGATGTCTAATTTTTTCATTGTTTGAACTGCAGGTGATCAGAGAGAGGCCTTACCCATGGATACTGAGGTCTATGAAAGTCCATATGCCGATCCAGATGAAATTAAACCAAAAAATGTCACTCTTGACAGGAAATTGTTGACTTTGGAGGAAGGTGAACTTGGCTCTGGCAACTTTGGTACTGTAAAAAAAGGGTTCTATAAGATGAAAAAGTGAGTGTTGCCTTCTATTTTCATGGAATCCAATATGTAACAGCTCTAGCCTTTACTTTTTGCAGTGGCAGTAATCTTTGCTTGTCATTTGGGGTAACAGACTGTAGCTAATTTGAGCTAAATTCACCAGTTTCCCTCTTTGTACGTACACTTAGGCACTCATTTTTGTCATAAAGTGGGGAAGTACTGTTTATGACTATTTTCTTTCCTGATGGGCATAGTAGAGTGGGAAACCCACTGCCTTGCCCCATTCCCATCTGCACAACGTCTCTGTCAGAAAATGTGGAGAGTGCCATGAACAGTTTACTTATAGCAAAACGAGTTTTGCCTGAAGTGTGATAAATACCAGTTTCCTGAAGCTAGAATGTCGATTTTCAGGAAGACAGAACATGTTGTAACATTTTCATCACATCATGTCAATAGGAACAGATCCTGTTTGTACTTGACTCTTCATGCATTTACATAGTAAAATGTTATCAGTATGCTGTTTATGTGCATGGGCTGATTATGTACACACCCTCGTCTCTTGAAGTTGGAAGCATTTCTTTAACCAAGGTTTTCAGAGGCAGAAAGGATTTCTATTTTTCCAATGTAGAATGTAGAAATTTGAAGGGCTCTGGTCTCAGCTTGTGTATATTTTAATCATGTTTCACACTTGAGCTATGTTGATCTCATTAGTCACGCTGTCAGTTTGCTGTATGAATGGAAGGTTGCAGAAGTAGGCTTAGATTCTCAGGTTTCAGAGCCCTGCCTTGGCACCTGGCAGTGCTGCATGTTCCAGTCCCACCCCTAAAACACCCCAGTGCCTAGAAAGCTCTTTATAGCTTTTCTTGTCAGAAAAACTTTATGCCATCCTTGCCGGAGTGGACAAGAAAATTTTGTCCAGTATTTTTTTTTTCAGGCTTCTTTAGGCATTTTTATGACGATCTGTAATTTTCTCAGGTTCTTTCCATTCTAGCTCTTTTGATTAGCTGTCTTCTGAGCATTTGATAGAGACATGTTCCTGTTATGGCTGTTTGTTTCTCCTCTGAGTGTCAATTCTGTCTTTTGTCACAATTTGTACTATGTAAATGGAAATATCTGATGAAGATTGTGTGCACTGGTGCACAGATTTTTCAGCAACTAGTCCCAGAACTGTATTCTCTTTTGCAGGGGTTCCAAGCCTGTGGCTGTGAAAATTCTGAAGAACGAGAGTAATGATCCAGCCATTAAGGATGAGTTACTGAGAGAAGCAAATGTAATGCAGCAACTGGATAACCCATATATTGTCCGAATGATAGGTATATGTGAAGCTGAGGCCTGGATGTTAGTAATGGAAATGGCTGAACTTGGGCCATTGAACAAATTTTTGCAAAAAAATAGGTATGTAAACTTTGATTCCATTCCATAGGAATGGTAAAGTTCCTTTCTTTTATATTTTCTTTTTCTTTAAGGACAATTAACATTTATATGTTGTTAATGTAATAATTAATGACTAGTTATTCTTCACTGGAATATGTCTCCAAACTGTGGAATATTTCTGCCAAAATAGAGTATTTTGAATAAATGAAGATTTTTCATACATCCTTCATCTTCTCCTTTATTGATGTGATCACACATCATCTTGCCCAGGACAAGAGCTTAGGTTGCCTTTTCAAGTTGAAGCTTAGCTAAATGTAAGGGAATCAGGTTCCCAGTGTAATGTGTACAAGTTCAGAGAAAAGATATGTATCTGAACTCCATGAAAAGTCATAAAAATGAACTACTGACCTCTTTAAAATTCCATTGTGATTTTCAGACATGTCACAGAGAAGAATATAACAGAGCTGGTGCATCAGGTTTCCATGGGGATGAAATACCTGGAGGAGAATAATTTTGTTCATAGGGATCTGGCTGCAAGAAATGTGCTCTTAGTCACTCAACATTATGCCAAAATTAGTGACTTTGGACTTTCTAAAGCTCTTAGTGCTGATGAAAATTATTACAAGGTAAGGTCTGAACACAACATACAAACTATGTAGATCATAGCTTAATAAGGATATTTTCATTTGAAATGCAGTTGAAAATGAGAAATACTATGTATCACTTGTTATTTTATAACCAGATACTAGATTACCAAATTCAAAATATGTGTTCAACATTAAGACATTTAGAGAAGAAAAAGCTTGTCCCTCCTTCTACTTGTCTACTTGTTTTCCTTTTGATAAACTTGTCATTAGAAGATTGAAAGTTATTGTGGAAATGAGATACTACCTTATATAAATGGGTGAAAATGTGTTTGTTGCAAAACAGTTCTCATCATGTCCAAGTAAAACGTAGGCTAGCACTAATACACTGGAATTAGGGGAGGTTTTTGAAGGGATACCATTGTTAAATAATAAATTAACCTAAGCAAAATTTGTTTATATTGGTTTTAAATTCTTTGGACCTCTGTACTCCTCAAGTGATTAAAATACTTGCAACATTTAATAAGGTAAAAGGTGGGAGACAAAGGCTGTTACGAGGTCTACATTTGTTTTTCTGATATATCACTGTTGTGATTCAAATTACTTCTTCCTTCTGCTTATTCCCTTTTATCAGCTCCTTGAAACTAATAATCCAACCCCAGAAACACTGCAGAGGAAAAGCAAGCCCGTGCTCCCTTGTGAGGACCTTTCTGTGCAGGAACAGTTATCACTGCTGCCAGGAAATCAATCTCAAAATTGTCTCAAATCACTGCAGCTAGCCTAGCCTAGCCTGCCAATCCCAGTCTCAGGGCCTTGAGAATTAGTACCAAAGTCCATTTTCTTTACAACTCCATAGGATGCAGGAGGGCCCTGTCACTAGATCTAGCACCGTATAGCTTGACACTTGAATGGTCATAAAGCAGCATTGTGCCATAATTTAGGTGAACTGCAGTTTGCCACAAGAAAGTCACTGTGCTTTGAAATAGAGCACCCACTTCAACCATCTGGACATGTCTCTTAGCCGTTGTGAGATCCAAATGGAAAAAATTATTCTAAAGAGCAACTTTAAATTAAATGCTGCTAAAAGTGTGACTCAAAGTAATTTAGCTACACTTTTTTTTACCATGGATTTAATTTCAATGCATTATTTTGAAAGTGGAAGTTTAGAACAATTTTGTAACACTTTAGAAGAAGCTGTTACCCATTTTCTCTAATGCTAACTGCATCAGAAATATTACGGTACTTAGTACAAATGTGTGTAGAACTAAGTTAACGTTAATTATGTGCATTCAGATGTTGTTTGCTACTTATCATTTTATCTAGTCTGCTTTTTTTCCTTTCTGTTATGACATATTTTAGGCACAAAGTCATGGAAAATGGCCAGTCAAATGGTATGCTCCAGAATGCATGAATTTCTACAAATTTTCTAGCAAAAGTGATGTCTGGAGCTTTGGGGTTTTAATGTGGGAAGCTTTCTCTTATGGACAAAAACCATATAAGGTGAGTGATTTTATTTGGTCATGTTTTTTCTTTAAAAATTCAGAGCAAATTTGAACCAATATCTTTTCCTAACTAAAAGGACTTGCTGCAACAAATGAGTCAAAGGATAGCCCAAAAATCAATTCCAGACCTCTGTTTGATTTATGCTGTCATGTGTGCTGTAATCATTTGCAACTTGGATGACTGTTCCGGTCACCCTGTTCCAGGGAATGAAAGGTGGTGAAGTTGCTCAGATGATTGAAAGAGGGGAACGAATGGAACGTCCTGAGGTCTGCCCAACGGAAGTCTACAGTCTAATGCAATTGTGCTGGACATACAAGTGAGTGTGATGGGATGCTCTTTTGATAGAAGTACATTTTAATCTACATGATTAATAGCCAGAAAGGGGGTGAGTAGGCGTTACTTCAAAATGCATCTTTTCAGCTGGAGTTTAGCTTGCAACCATACTCCAAGATCAGAACTCAATTGCATTTTCAGGTGAAAATTATCTGAGTTATAGAGTGTACTACAAAAAGCCAATTTTGTAGAACAGAGTTTACTGGAACAATTATATACAAAATACACGGTGTCATAAAAAAATAACTGCACAAAAAGATCAATCTAATGCATTTTGAAAAGAATGTTTGAAAGTAAGCAAATATTTTGTTTCATTTTGCATTGTAGTTCATTTAATTTTAATTTCCAAGGCTTTGGCTTTACTGAAATTTCAAAGTCATATTGCCAAAATGTTTGCTTGATTTCTCAATATTTCATTTTTTTGAGCTGTTTATCTCTTCCCGAATAACAGAATATATTCAAATTGGATCCCACACTGACTTCTTATTAGTGAGAGGCAAACCATCTTTTCTGATATGTCAGAAACATTTTTTTCTGTTTCATAACCATTTGGAAATTAAAATTATGAAATACAGAAAAAAAATAAAGCCTACCTGATTTTTTGATTACTGTATTGCAAAAATGTATTAAAACTCTTTCATGTTTTATTGTTTTAAACTATTCTGTTGAAGTTACTTTTAACTGTAGGAAGTCTCCAGAAAGCATCCAAAATTACTCTAATATCACTTATTCTTCCAGTTCACCATCAGGAGAATAGGTTTGTCCAAAAGTTCTACATTAAGGACCTCTGGTACTTCATTTTTAGGTACCTTGGTTCTTTGTTAGCTTTATTAAATCCAGTACTCTAGAAAGAACCAAAAAGTAATTCTACCTTTTGGTTTGACTCAAGGAAAACTGTAGCCGTTCTACAGTGAAAGGGAACAGGTTTTGTTTTTAGTAACAAACATATCATAAAGCATGCTGATTTTGGTTTTGTACTAAAATATCTTTATTATTAGAAAGAAAATAAATTTTAAAAAGAAGGTTCAGGTCAGGCAGAGTAACGACCTTAATGTGTAATGTAAAATAGTAAGGGCTTGTTGTCAGTTTAATTGTGTTCTCCAAATAAATAAACAGTTGCAGATATAAAAGAAAGATGGTAGAGTCATATGGTGTGTGGGTAGGCTCCTCTGAGTGCTTCTAACCACTCTGTGTGATGGTACTACCATTATAAGGCAGATATTGCACAGGAAATACTCTTTTCTCCAGATTATTACTAAAGTAAATGAAGTAGAAAATTGAATGGAGCTGATTTACCATTTCTTTTTTTAGTACCTTCATCAACCACAAACAGGCATGATAGTAAATCCACTGACTGGATGCTCTGTAGTAGTATGTGTCACTTGGTATTAATTTTGTAGTGTCATTTTTGTAGCCTTAAAATACTGCGAGCATCTTTAAGTGGGCTGTCACTGAGGTGGAGTCTCAAGGGCTGTAAGGCCCATGAACCTTGACAGCTCTGTCCTTCCCTCACAGTGACAATTGTCATCTTCCCACAGCGTTGACGACCGGCCAGGATTTGTTGCAGTCGAGATGAGATTACGTAACTACTATTACGACATTTCCCACTAACAGCGTGGAGAGCAGCAGCTTCCTCGTCTCCAGCCAACACCCTCTGAGAAGCAACACATTTTCCAAAACCAAGCAACCTCGATTTTTGTGCTTTCATTTTCAGAGCTGAGCCTTGTGTCTGTAAGGTTGCCTTCTCTTACCTTTTACACAAAATCCAGCCCCAAAAGAGTTTTGGAAGTGTAACAGTCTCAAAGTGCGCAGCAAGGATGTTGGATAAGATGCTTGTACTTTTGCTACATTCCATTTCATTTTATTTACAGCTTTATTTGCATTACATTTTGCAGTCCTGTAAAACCTATTTAATGACTTTGAGCCCTCTTCCTCTCCTATACTTCAATGCAGATTGAAATTTAAATTCTTCTCATCAACATTATTAGCCTTTCAATGTATTTAGTTGTTGCAGCCTTCCTTTCCTCGAGGAAGAATAGGATAAACATTTCTCACTATGAAGCAAATTCACTGTGCCAAGTGTGTCAGATGCTTTGACTGACAGCGTGTTTGATTTTATCACCAAGCCCTTTTAAACCAAATCACATTATTCCTAGCAGTAAAATAAGCCGAGGGGAATTGGGAGTTCTGACTTTCTAACATCATTGCACCTTTTAAATGTGACCATTTTGTTTTGTTCCTCATCTCTTCTTTTGTTCCTCAGCCCAGATGTTCCTCAGGGAGTTACTTTTTTCCTAGTGAAAACTGGGAACTCAGAGGCTTGATCTCATCTTGGAAGAAAATATCCCAGCACCTAAGATGATTCTATATTTTAACATAAACTCCAACACTGCATTCCTGAAAATACACCTGTGATGCAGCAGCACTTACCTTTCTCTGTGCTCTTCCATCCTTCTCTGGACACATTTTTTCTATTTGGGTATACCATAACTCCTTGTGTTGTGTTTTGAGCAGCAATCATTTCTATCTTTTCTTAAAACCCTTCTTTAAAAAGCATGTGAGAATTTCACCACACCTTACCACCTCTAAAGTTAAATTTCTTGTCTAGTTCAGATATTTTATAATGGGCATATGGACAACAAGATTACTTTAAAATGGGCATATGGACAACAAGATTACCAGCTCCAAAATCTTAGTATTTGTCCTGTGGGACAAATCTCAGTGGACATCTCAGGAAAAGGCATTTGTCTTGCCACTCTTCTGTAATGTAGTGTGCATCTCCATTAAACTGGAAGTATAGTAGAGTAATTACAAATTATGCAGTCAATTTCTGATTCTGTTTTTACCTTTATGCTTTACTTTCTCAAACTCATTTTAAATATTATCAATAGCAACATTTCTATCACTTATTACTTACAAGCATCTATTTTATTGTCATTTGCATATATCCCAGGAATCTACTTACATTTTGTCTGCTAGATATAGAGATTTTAGAAGAATATAAAAAATAAGATTTAGAGTTAGATATATTTATTGCATATGGCTGGTTAGAGCACACGTGTTTAGTTTTTGTGTGAACAGAGTATTCTTAGAGATAAAGTGGTATTTTTTTCTCTAATAATTAAATTGTGTGAGCAATTAAACTGAGAAAGGGTGAAATAATTTTCATAAAAGACAGGATCTATAAACAAATGTAGAAGCTACTGGTATTTTTTTTTCTTTTTACTAAGTTTAAGGTCTATTTGTTAAGTAATATCTGATGCCTTTTAGTAGTTTAGTCTTGGCTGTCCAGTGCAAGGCACCACAGGCTACTGGAAGATACTGAGTGTAATAGACTGTGTTTCAAATTTGACCAAATGTGACTTGCCTTGAAGATGATTTAATTTTGTTCTCTTTTTAAGAAACATTTTTCTACAAGACCAGCTTCTGTAGAAGTTAGCCATGGTTATACATAGCTTTTGTCACTTTAGTTATGTTGCAGAGAATTTGTTATCTCTACATGTGCAATTAGTGCAGTTATGGGGATATTAGCTATAAACAAATTGCACAAATCTCTATGAACCAGCGAGTGACAGTACTCAGTTTTCCAGAATGAGAGATATATTCATCTCTATCTCTCACTCTCTTTAAAAGTGATGTCTGATACAACAAACCTGGAGGTTTATTTCTGCTCTTCTGAGTGAATGTCAACATCACTTTCTGGAGTTACTTGATTATTTTTAACTTCACTATTACATTACAAAAGTTTACAATGAGAATATAAAGTGTCATGAAATAAAAAAATTCGGTTTTAACATTTTAATTAAAGATACTTTTACAAAATATGCTGTCTTAACAAGAATCCTTTCATAATTACATGCTTTGTAAAAAATCCTGATGCTGTGTGTATATGTACTGAGTTACTGTGATTGTTGTGGAAGACTGAGATTTACCTACTGGTAGTGAAAGGTACCCACCAGGACAGATAAGGCTACTGAAGCCTGGGCTCAGGAATAGCAGGAAATTCCCAAAATATGCACATTGTTATTGCACCTATGTCTTTTCAAAGTGATTCACAACAATACTGTGCTGAATCTGGAAGGTTAGAGATGTGAGGAGTCAGTGCAGTATATCAGCTAGACAAGAATTTCTGCCTTAGAGGTGTAAGATTTAAATCTATGCCAGATTTAAATCACATTGTATGACATGGAGACTCCCTCAGATACAGATGTATTCTAAAATAGTAACAGCAACATCTTAGTCTTTCATTTAGCTTTTTTTTTGCGTGCTCAGGTTCTCAGGAAAGCTAAGGCTAGATGAGTGTGAATGTGAATTTGAATAATAAACAAGAAAAGTAGATAACTCTTCAAGCAGGTACTTACCTTTGTGGGGTGATCAGTCAGTGACTGACTGACTCTGTTCTTCTGTGGATGTTTTCCTGCGTAGCAAATCTGGCCTAATTGCTGCACCTTCCCACTTGTAGGGCTGCACCATCAACTGACATGAAGGGACTTTTTCTCTTATGGCTGTCTGGATCTGGTTGTCTGTTTTTAGATTGACTTGTCTCAGAAAAGCCACTTGGTGGTGTCATCCTACAGATGATTGTCATGACAGAGCTGAAGGGTAGAAAACGGCAGGATGTAGTTAGGGAGGCTGGTGGAAAAGAAGAACTAGGTAATAACATGCTAAGAGGAATTTTCACTGGAGGAAGACTGTGTATTTACACCTTTGGTTAGGGCTTAAATTTACAAAATCATGGAGTATTATTTTGAAGTATGAGAAGAATGTGGCTTTTCCCTTAAAGACACACTCAAACATCCTAAAAGCCTGGTCCAGCCTGTCCTTGCTTCTAACACTGTGCAAAAAGGGGGCTTTTAATCAGACAGTGAGCAATACCCATAATTTTCACCCTTGAATCAGCACAGTCAGCCCTGCCAGTTTGCCAAAGAGCCCATCTGCAAGCAGTCTGGCCTGCAGAGGCAGGCCATGCACTGAGGCAGCAGTGTGTCCTCATGCCAGCCCTGCCAGGAGGTGGCAATACCTGAACACAGCTGGAGGGAAACACTTGTCTGGCCATCTCTGGCGTCTCTTCTCTGCCCCGGCTGTTGTGCCTGCGTGTTACAGAGGACACGCTCTCTTTGCTCCTTGCTGTGAAGCAATGTTGCATGTGAGGACGAATCATCATTTGTTTATATGGTGGATAGTCAGCTGTGGATGATTATCCAAGACTTGTGAGACTCAGTGTCCCCTTGTCTTTTAAGTGATCACAGCAATGAGGGATTGCATGCAGAAAGATAGAGACTACGCCCCACACGTGCCTAGAAGGGAGTGAGGATGACATATGGATTGAATAATATAGGGAAACATTAAGCAAGCAGTTGTAATTACCAGCCCTAAGTTTAGTGAGTTCAGACTCAAGAAGACTTGAAGACTGCAAGGCATGCAGAAGAAGAATAAGAAAGTAGATTCCTGTTTAAAAAAACAGTCAGAGTGATGTAAGGCAAATCCTGAGAACAGTCCTCCAGTCACTCAGAGTTCCCTGAAACCAAGCTAGAGCTGTGCATCTATGTCCAAATAGGTATTTTATTCTTTCCTGTCACGTATGTGATAATTGAGACAAAGACCCACTGGGTTCCTTGACATATAATTAACTCTGCATGGAGTATAATGACTGCTTCCCTGAGGCAGTGGAGGTGTGCACATTTCTTGATAACCAGAGAAGGGAGGAAACAAGAGGCAACTGGGGAAAACATTACACTACTGTCCATTAAAATTCATTGCTTCAAATGTAAATAGTCCCTGGATGACCAGTCCAGTGTAAATGTGCAGAGATCATTAACTCCCCGTGTCTATCCACTGCTGCAAATGCCTTAAGATGACATGTCAAGGAACTGCTAGGTGTTGCTTAAGTGTATCAAAGTGCCTGTGGGGGAATGCCACTGCCATGCGCCTGCAGCTATCACTGCCCATATAGCACACTCCACAAGTCAGAGGTTCAGTCAGCTGAGTGCCAGGCTCCCTGTGCCTCTGCCACCTTAGAAATGCAACACATTTCTTCAACAATAGAAAAAGATAGAAAAAAATTTTGCAAAGAACTGTTCGGTGATACTGTCCTGTTCCATTGCCACCTGCCAGTGGCTGCTTTACTATCAACATCTGTTCTTCCTACTTCCTGCTTAATAAAGAGAAATTGTGCCAGTTTCAGCAACAGCAAGACTATAATTGCATGACTGAGCAGCAGAACATGTAGCAGAGAACTTTAATAGCTGTGTCTTGAACAGCTTAAAGACTTACCTTTAAAAATATTACACACTTATACTCATCTACAAATATTTCTTGTGATTATTTCATACTTGAGTTCAATAATTATTTATTCCTCAGTTGTTACTGCACAACCTTTGTAGCTGCATCTTTATGTCTTGTTCTAATTAATGTGCAGATTTCACCAGTGTTACCAAAAGATTTCTCTCTGACTGGTGTATCAGGTTCCACCACCTAATTTGAGGCTGAGACCAGCTGGAAAAAATAAATAATGTTGGTCTTCCGTGATAGTTCTAGAAGATAACAAGAAAACTTGTTATCTTGTTAGATAACAAGGAGATGGCTGCAGGGAGCACAAAATGCATGAGAGGTACAAGCTCACTGTGCTTGTCACAGGGCAGCACTTTGGGGTGTTTTTCCCACTCTACTTTGGAGCATATGTAAATTGACTGTTTGGCTAGGTTTGATGTTTCTTTTCCCAAAAGATACGTATTTAGAGTCAATGTTTCCTTAATTTTCCCCAGTAATGACACATCTTTATACCTTTATAAAAACCTAATTATCAATATCATTTCGTTTCACAAGATTTCCTCTGTTACCAGTAAATGCCCCAAACTGGGCTGTATCTATACATACAGCTACACACCTTGCACTCAGGAGCCACCTCATTTTTTGCACACTTCTAATACACTAGAGCACAAAATATTTTTTTTCTTTTTCTTCTGTAAATATGTTGTTGGCTCTGTCATGTATACACATATCTTTGGGTATTTTAAAATTGTATATTCACGGTTTTACTGCTTCCCCAGGGGCATGCAGCAGTGAGGTACTATTTTTAAACTCCTCAGTCAGCCATGACTTCCTTTTTGTCTGTCCACTCTGTAGCTGCCATAGGGAGTGAGCATGGCATTCCTCATCTTTTTGTGGTTTCTACTTATAAGGAATAAGCAGAACAAGTAGTGGTTCTTGTTGGTGCTGGAGTACTACACAAGTCATATTACAGGAAAAAGCAAAGACTGAATCATGTCTCAGAAATTCACCCTGCAGTGTCACATTGTACCCGAGTTAATGCAAACCAGTACTCCTGCTATACAAGCACAAGTACAAAGCTCACAGTTTGTTCCCAAAACTCCCACAGCTTTTTCCATGCCAGCTATATGAAAGAAAAAAAACCAAAAACCTAACCAAACACCAAAACCCAACAACATTTAATAATATGACACATTCCTGTGTTTGTTTGCAGAACTGTATGTGAGCAATTTTATGAGTCATTTAATTACAAGGAAGCCAAGGCCTGGACAAAGAAATACTCTCAGGGCTTGCTTGGGCTGGGGACAGTCTCTGTCTTTCCTTCCCCCCCAAAATAAAAAGGTCCCAGTGTGTTTGAAATGCAGCTTGTAGGAATGAAGACATCAGATGCCACACCAAAGCTGAGACAGCTGTGAGACTGGTGGTGCCTACACCTTTTGCTTGAAAACCGCCTTATTTGGTGGTGGTGCACTGCCAGGCCCACAAAGCCAGCATGTCCCATTGCTTGGCCCCCAGGCCTCAGCAGGAACCTGCTGATTACTACGCATTAACAAACGTTTGTGGCAAAAACACCCAAATACTGCACCCTCTTCACCTAACATAAACGTCATACACTGAAAATGTCATACAGACTGGGACATGTACTTGAAAGAGAAGGAGCCTTTAAATGCCTTTAAATTTATTTATCCCAGTAAATGCAGCCAGCCTTTGCTCCTTCTTACCCAAGGAGCTCACCTGCTGCCAGCATGTCCTGGCTAGATGTTATTGGCTAGATGTCCTGGCTAGGTGTTATTGCCTACCTTTTGGATGTCACCAGGAAATCAGTAATTTCGAAAGGTGAGGTGGGGTGGAATGGGAAGGGAAGGGGGACAGACACTATACTCATGTCTTGCAAAAAAAACTATGAAACACACTTCACTCATAAGCTAAGAAATTTAAAGTAGCCAGAAACTGGGTCTGGAACATTCAGGTCACCAATAGGGCTCACCTTTCAGCCTAGCAAGAAGTACCGTGTTTGTAGAGGCAATGTGATAGAGCACAGTTTTACAAAGATCTTTCATTTTGTAGAAACAATGC